AGTATACACAGGACTTCCAAAGATAACATGTACTCCGTATGTCATCTACACTCCGATTTAGTACATTTTATCTTAGAATCATAAGTCTGGTTTGTACGGTGAAATGGTATAGACATGTTATTTAAGCATTGAACTGTTTTTGTATGGTATTTATGATCTATTTGAATGACACAGCTTTGCAAGCAAACAACATAATGCGCGCTAGCGCCTTATGATTTGTTTGCTTGCAAAGCTGTGTCATTCAAATTGATCATAATTACCATACAAAATCAGTTCAATACTTATATTTACGTTTTCCCTGCCTTTTATGTTCTTTTTTAACTTATAATTTATAATTAAAATTAAAAATCCCCGCCTTATCGACAGTCCACACAATTTCGTTCAATAGATTGAACAGCGTATTGTCGCGTGCTGATTGGCAAACAAAGTAGTCCTTTGACATTTTAACAAACACTTCAAATTTATTCCACAATTTAATATCAATACAATTGCGTATGATATGTCTTTAGGGTGATTCCAGGTTTTCAATAGAAATCTGAGCTGAAAGTTAGATTTGAAATTGTTTCGATTTTCCCCCGGAACAAATTTCGCGCATGGATAAATACAGTAAACACCGTGAATGGGACCTTGACCTCCACGAGGGAGTTATTTCTGGAAGTTAATTCGAACTTTTCTCTTTGCTCAATTTGTGAAGAATCCAGGCGTGAATGTATTTGTTGATTGTATGGGAACCCGACAACAGTCGGTAGATTCTATAACAGCATCGTTATTTGACATGTCGTCTGAAACTGAGGAACCATGGATCCGAGACGCGTGAAACTGATAGCGTTTGAAGTGAGTGATCTTGCGACGGAGCACAGGTTCGTTACAAATGTCTGAAATGACGAATATTTATGTGTTCTTTGACTCATATCAGTAGGTCTGTAACATATGTGTCAGTAGGTCTATAGAATGTTTATTTCAGACATTTATAACGAACCCCTGTTGATCAGTGCAGTGTAACAGACGATATTTCTGATAAATTGCATGAGCGTTAAAATTGTTTCCATTGCCGGCATTGGTGATTTCAACCGATGTGCATTTTGTACGATATTGCAGACCTTGGTCTTGTTTTCGTTTTAATAAAAGTGGTTTTTATTTTATTTTTTATTTTGCACATTAATTTACAATGACATTATCAAATCTCACAATGCCCAGCGATATTTCAGCAGACGTCATGTTTATTTACATTGGATATTGTAGTTCCGTCAGTGTTGTAATTAATACGCTAAGAATTGTGTCTCGTACGGCATGGTAATTATGTCTCGCGCGGCATGGTAATTAAAGTCCCATCAACGACACAGCTTTCAAAGAGGCTATATAGTGACAATGCCATTCAAATGTAAATATTACCTTATAAACGGCGAACTCCCCTACGGGATCTATGAGAGTATAACCATGACCTCTACCAGCTGTCATCATGTCACTCACTAGTAAACATCACTGTCTCATGCAATGTCTATATGTCAACGTAAGGATCGAAAGGCATCAACGCACGTGTCACTTATAATGTTGTGCCTTATGCAGTGTTAAAAACCGTCTTTATGACTACAGTATTTATATATGAATAGGTCTGTAAACTTTATTATACTTTAAAGCAATTATGCAACAAGTTTTGTTCTGCCTTAAACTGATCACCATTATTGGACCGGATTGAAGCGCGCAGGGGTCTTGATATGGGAGGTCAGCGGGGCGCCCAGATGAAAACAACAGGATCGGGCAGGTTACATGTACCACTCACCTTTTCACGTCCTTTTGGGGAATCGAACTCTGGCTGTCTTGGTGAAAAGCGAGCGCGCTACCCCCTGCACCACCTGGTCAGTCTCTTGGTTTAACATAAGGATATTATCCTTATTCTGTAGCAGTTGAAAGCAATGCTAAATTTATTTTATACGAAATTCCTTTTCCTCATCACTACTCCCTGTTTTTAAGTGTCAGTGTCCCGTTATATCGATATGTTCCCGTTTTATGACTTGCTGAGTTTCTGGACAGCGGTTCGAACTCTATCAAAGGTACGTCACCTTCATTCTAGGATTCTGAACACTCTTTCGGAGTTCGTTTGACAAACGTAAGTTGCGAAGTAATAGGTGTTTTCTGATTCGCCTCCTTTTTGACGATAAAAAACATCCAACATCATGATTGTTTATTTCGTTAAAGGCCATTACAGCTCAAGTCCTGTTAGGTATAAGATCCGTGTCTTATCTTGTTGGCTGTGATGCCTACCATTGGCTGTGATGCCTACCATTGACTGTGATGCCTTCCATTGACTGTGATGCCTACCATTGTCTGTGATGCCTCCTATTGGCTGTGATGCCTACCATTGGCTGTGATGGCTACCATTGACTGTGATGCCTACCATTGTCTGTGATGCCTCCTATTGGCTGTGATGCCTACCATTGGCTGTGTTGCCTACCATTGACTGTGATGCCTTCCATTGGCTGTGATGCCTACCATTGACTGTGAAGCCTACCATTGGCTGTGATGCCTACCATTGGCTGTTATGCCTACCATTGACTGTGATGCCTTCCATTGGCTGTGATGCCTACCATTTACTGTGATGCCTACCATTGGCTGTGATGCCTTCCATTGACTGTGATGCCTACCATTGTCTGTGATGCCTCCTATTGGCTGTGATGCCTACCATTGACTGTGCTGCCTACCATTGGCTGTGATGCCTACCCTTGACTGTGATGCCTACCATTGGCTGTGATGCCTACCATTGACTGATCAATGTTTCCCACTTTATATCGGACTGAAGATAACTCTATTGTTATGAATGCCATTCCGCCGCTGTGTATTGCACTGGTGTATTAAAATTCCCCTTTACTTGTCAGTTACTGATCATACAAATGAACATTGCCACCATTGCTTGAACCACAGTAACAGTTTGACCATCCTGAGAGCATATTTCTCCGACGGTCAAGATGTTTTTGTTTCGTGATAACGTCTGTGGTCCAGGGCTTTTCAAAAGGGTAAGGCTATTAGCCATAATGATATTATTGTACCATACGGTGGTCGATGTTTGCTAATTTGTTCCTTGTGGCCTTTGTACTTCCGTAATACTTCTCTGACATAACTTATAATAAACCAGGATGTACTTGTGAGATGCCGTAGGTGAAGCAGTGACGAAATTTGATTTAAACATGTTAATATGAGAATTAACATTGTTTTCATAGAAATAAGTTGAAATGACAATCTTTGTGGTGTGAGAGAATATTGAAACTATGTGCGTCATATTTGCTAGAATGTATGATTGATAGAATCTAGTAAATCATCTACAAATTTGGTAAAAGTGTAACTCTCCTTTGGATATTTCAGGGTTTGTTCAAATGCCCTTTTTATTCAAATCACCTTGCGTCCGTGGTCTGTCGTCCGTCCATCATTCCGTCCGTCCTTAAACAATTCTTGTTAGCGCTATTTATCAGAAATCTAAAAATTTCATAGGAAGGCTCCCCATGGTCCCTTGTTATGCATATCGTTGTTTTGGAACTGATCACAACACCAAGATGGCCGACAGCCAGCAATCTTGAATTTGAGAGTTAAAGTTTGTTAGCGCTATTTATCAGAACGTATTTGAGGGATCTTTCACAAATTTCACATGAAGGTTCCCAATGGTCCCTTGCTATGCATATCGTTTTTTTGTGATTACAAAACCACGATGGCCGACAGCCAGCCACCTTGAGTTTGAGTATGAAAGCGATTTGGCGTTATCCGTTCGAAATGTCTAAATAATGATATTGTGATTTAATGCAGGTTATGGTAGAATTAATTTATTTTTAATGTTCGAAATTATGTTATCATACACTGGGCTGCGTTTCTACTTATATCTATATATTTTATCTATATATTTACGCATTTTCTTTAGATTGCTACTTGTTCCCGACGTGACCAACATGTTGAGCCTCCTACCCCTGTTTGTGTTTCTGGCGGCCTTGTTCCTGGTCGGTAGATGGTTCGTACGGAGTCTGAAAATCGGCGGGTTATCTGGTCGGTACGTGTTTATAACCGGATGTGACACTGGATTCGGAAATATGCTCGCCAAGAGGCTTGACTCTCTGGGAATTAATGTATTCGCTGGCTGTCTGACATCCAGGGGACAACACGATTTGGACAAGGCGACATCTGAACGTCTTGTCACGATAGCGCTTGATGTTACGAATGAGGACAGCATACGCAAGGCATATGCAGAAGTCAAAAATAGACTCCCGGAAGGAAAAGGTAAGGGTGTTTATACTGAAGATTTATTATTAGCATAATACCTCACTGTTGCTGAAGCACGGACTCAAACATCAAAAGATGATGGTAAATGTTTACTTATACAGTTGGACTGCTAGTAAACCAATTAAGACTAGTATTTTTTTCGCTGGGTGTAAAATGTTCACTAAGTAAAATTGTTCACTGCTAGTATTACTGTTCGCTTCTAGTAAACGTCTTTGCTTGAAAATACCTCACTGCTGATAAACTGGTAAATGTCATTAAACAGTTCATTGTAAGCTGTTTAATTTGAGTAAACTCTTCACTGCAAGTAAAGTCTTAGTCAGGTATAGACGTACACCTGTGTTAGTCAGGTAGAGACGTACACCTGTCTTAGTCAGGTAGAGACGTACATCTGTCTTAGTCAGGTATAGACGTACACCTGTCTTAGTCAGGTAGAGACGTACATCTGTCTTAGTCAGGTAGAGACGTACACCTGTATTAGTCAGGTAGAGACGTACACCTGTCTTAGTCAGGTATAGACGTACACCTGTCTTAGGCAGGTATAGACGTACACCTGTCTTAGTCAGGCATAGACGTACACCTGTCTTAGTCAGGTATAGAAGTATACCTGTGTTAGTCAGGTATAGACGTACACTTGTCTTAGTCAGGCATAGACGTACACCTGTCTTAGTCAGGTATAGAAGTATACCTGTGTTAGTCAGGTATAGACGTACACCTGTCTTAGGCAGGTATAGACGTACACCTGTCTTAGTCAGGTATAGAAGTATACCTGTGTTAGTCAGGTATAGACGTACACTTGGCTTAGTCAGGTATAGACGTACACCTGTCTTAGTCAGGTATAGACGTATACCTGTG